CAAATGCTTCGAATAACAAGTGGATTTGTTTTAGCGAAAAAAATGATTGGGGCTAGGTGCACTTTAAGAAATGACAAGGGCTTGAATCTTTTTTCATCACGGAGGAAAACTCAGCCCTCCAAGCCGATTTTTTTAAAATTACACGTTAAAATAATAATTAAAACACTCTTAAGCTACAAGAAGTAATTACTTATTGATGTCAACCAACCTTGAGAAATAACAATGCGATAGACGTAATTGGAGTTTTGGTCTCCCGCGCACTCTCCAACGCTGTTGACACCACATGGCTGTTGAAGAGTATCGATGCACTGTTCTGAGGCACCGTACATACTGTATGTATCACCAGCTTTAATTCCAGACAAGCACTCTCCTACACATCAGCACAGGTTTCTATTAGTCACCTCAGATACATGGCATAAAATGTAATAAACTTGAACGATTCTCTAAAATTCATAAATTTAGACTTGTTAGTGCGTGGGTTCTGATTGGCTAAATAAACATCGCTGACAACAACATGCTTAAAAAGGACGGTATTTGAGGTTTAAGACCCTTTAACAGTGCCTCAGGAAAGAAGTACTATTTCCTTCCTCTCTCCAAGCCCTTAGCTTCACTTATATCCAAACCATTGAACATCACTTTAATGAACAATACGACCGTGAATGAATGGGAAGTGACTACCAATGAAATGAGATCGAAAAATGACTGGAAGAATCAAAGAACATACCGTACATGTGAACTCCAAACACATTGTAATTCTTCTCATAAACTAGGTTGGCACACCTGCAGACAAAATCGGGTAGCCAGGCACTCCATTTGTACCAGTCGATTTCATTAGCTTCTTTTAACATCATTTCAGAAAGTGGAGCTGTAGGATTATTCAACTCCTTATCGGCAAAACAACCAAGCTTTTGGTACTCAATGTTACACTTCCCTGAGGAAAAAAAGTAATTGTAACATTAACCTTGAGCGTAAAAATAGAACTCTACAGTCTACGAAGCCATTCAGTCAGCAAATCCATGGACAGAATACTTGCTTACAAATTTAGCAGAAATTAACTTACGAAGGCTTGCAGCTGGGGTTGAAGGCGATGTTCCGCTAATAGCAGGAGGTGGTGCTGTTGGTACTAAAGAAGAAACTGTCGATAAATAGATGAATTATTTTGTCTTCATACAGCTGTATAGTGATTTAATTTTGACAAAGAGAACAGGAAAAACTTTTAGGTTCCACTTGTTATACCTGGAAACTTCCTGGTCTCACTCTTGCAACCACTTCAATTACTCGAGAAAAAAAATGGAATGAGTACCAGTGTACCATGAAAACGCTCAGATGCAACGGAAATTATGGACAGCGATCCGATGACACGCAAACACTCGTTAAATTAATTTTGGGTATCATCGATGAACTATTAGAAAATGGGTGCTTTTCCTTGGCAATTAACAACTGACCCTCCGTTTGAATACAAGCAGCAAAGAAACGAAGAGAACTTACCTTGTTGACAAGATTCCTTAAGAAGAGCGTCAAGAATTTTAACAAGATCTTTGTACTTTGTAACTCTGAACACGTGATTGCCGTCGTTCATAGCTATAGTTTTCAGTTCCTTTTTATCCACATTCTTTCCAACGCCAACAGCTAAGACCCGAACATTCTTTGCCTGTCAAGTGAAAAAAAAGATCTATTGCAGTCTTTGGTTCTAGTGTATTTTCATTGCCACATTTGTATCCTGATTGGCAAAAATGTTAAATATGCTTAAAATGTTTTAACATTTAAACACGTTGAATGTTTACGGTGGTCAATGCGCTTAGCTAACCCTGGCTAGTTCTCAGGCATACCACTTAAACTTAAAGAAACAAATATTTCAAATAAAAATAATAACCTTAAAAATCCCAACTAAAAATTATGGAGGCTACTAAGATTTGTAAAAAAAAAAACAGCAGGATGAACATAACTTTTCCGACTAAAATTCAGGAAAACAGCCAAAAGCCTTGGCAATTTTTTCGAAATTGAACGGTCGTCCACGGCTTTTCGATGTCTTCAACAATTTTAGCAGGAAACGTTCCTAGAGATCTTAGTAATTTCCACAATTTTCAGCTGCTACATAAAAAGTGATTTCTAGCTTTCCATTCTCTTCTCTTCAAGACCGTAAAGATCATGTGGAGCAAAATGGAGTCAATCCCACAAGCTATTCGCTGAGAAACCTGTCCAAAACGCATACATTTATTTATTTATTTATTTATTTATTTATTATATATACACATTTACTTTCAATGGTTCGCAATTTTGATTTGGCTGAGTTTGCCGTAACGTCATCTTTGTACTGTCTTGCAACATTTTGCCAGTGCTCTTTAGAGACCCGTGTATAGTCTTGCTTTATTCTCTGTTATCTAAAAAATGTTTAACTTCCAGAGGCATTTCACTGGCTGGGAGCATTTCATTGGCTGTGAGCTGGTTTGTATATGATCCTCTTAATTAACGGGGAAAAAAACTGGCAGGAAAAGTTACAAGGTAAATGTGTCTTGGTAAAAACAATTATAACCAAATATACTTGCCTGAAGTGGTTTTAAAACTTCTGAATATGGTTGGCTTAACTGCACGTTTGTCTTACCATCAGTAATAACAACTAGAACATCAGGCTTGTCGAGCCGGTCTCCTCCTTGCTCAGAAAACAGTTCCATATTAGCAAGCGTTAGAGCAAGGTCTGTTCTAGTTCCTTCACCCAAATAAGAGAAACTCTTTATCTTTTTTCTTAGACGTTTACTCTTGTAAAACTGCTTGTCTGCAAAGCTGAATTGTAGCTCCGGAATTGAACTGAACACAATAGCACCGAAATGGGTGCCTTCCTGAGATACTTTAAAGTGCTTTACTAGGCCAGCCACAAACTGTAAGCACAAGTTGTAATCATCAAGCGTGATACTATCCGATGAATCAATGATTACACCAATATCCAGAGCTTGATCGCATGCTGCAAACAAAAGAAAAACGGAGAACGGAGAGAATTACTTAGAGAGCTACATTATAGGCCTGTTTAGAAATGAAAGGAACAAAGTCAGGCTATTTATGGTACCTCGTGCATATCTTAATTTAAATAGTACTCGCTTAACTCCCATCTCCTGAAGAACAACGGCGGCGATTTCTGATCAGCTTTTGGGCTTAAGCAAGTTTAGTTTTTCCAACATAACCATGCATATAAATATATTCTCAAACACGTTTTAGTTGGAGCTGATAGTAGTTTTCTTACACGGCGTGGAGGGTGGCTGTGTAGGTGAAGGACTGGGCTGAGTAGGTGGAGAACTGGGCTGAGTTGGAGTGACAACTGGTTCTATAATTGAATGAGCAATTAGCACAGTACAGTTATCAAATGCAACCGATACGTACGTAACACAATTATCTAAAAGCAATGGTTAAGCATGCGCATAGCCAATTACCCGTAGAGTAGCAACCGTAGGCAGTTTGGTACGCCTTTGCGACAAAGATCCGTAGTTTGCTAAATGATTTATTAAAGCACTTATATCAATCGTTTTATAAGGTTAGGTGATAGAATAAAATGTAGCGGTATTTGTATTCAATCAAGGGAAGATGCTTGATCTCTACTTGATTCAATAGCACAAATGATTTTCCAAAATTACAGGCACTCTCATATTGCATTATATTTTATGCAAGGTTTCACAACAAACAAGTAAGCAATGAGTTGCAAGAGTTGTTGAAAGCAGTTAGCTCAGAAAATAACGTAAAACGTAGACAGAAACGTGTTAACAAAAAGCAAGGTATAAAACTTTAGTTACCCTTGACATCAATTCCATAAACAAAGTTGACGTTCTGGTCACCGACACACTCCTGTTTATCACTTGGATTACATGCGTCGTAATCTTTGGTAACACACTTGTTAGAAGTTCCCGCCCTATTATATGTCTCTCCAGCGTCCTTTCCGGACCAACACTCGCCTAGATGGATTTTAAAATGAGTGTAATCAGCATGTATGTCGTTCAGTCGAATAAGCGGCCACTTGTTAGCGGACACCTGCTGTTAAGCGGACAGTCCAAGTCCCCAAATTGTTGTTGGTTAAATACTGTTAACAGGCCACCTCTATTAAGCGGCTGCGGTCACCATTTGGACATCCCAATGCGGGTTTTCTATTGTCTCTATGCCCATTAAGTGGCCAGCGAAAATGAATACATGTAGTTTGGCTTTGGTTTAGAAAAGGCGGTAACAAATAAGAATCCGAAATAGGATGTGATTACTGATAAAAAAAAATTTAAAAAAAATTTAAAAAAAACACACATTTAAACACACATTTCTCATTGTCTTCATTTTTGAATTTGTCATACCAGTTTGAGTAATTTGACGTTTCTACTAAGCCTTGTGGTAATTTCTAACAAACGATTACAAAGCAAAACGAAACGCTTATGTAGCCAGTAAGAGCAAATCACCAATTTTGATCAAGATGTGACTTATTTTACCCACCAAAGTACTGCAGGCTAAAGAAGGCGTACTTCTTGTCTTTTGCTGCTTCAGCACAACGGCAAACCAAGTCAACCATATATTTGTCCCAGTTATTCCAGTCGATAGTCTTGCCGCTAGAAACCTTACTGCGTGAATCACGATCAGTGAACAGTAACTCGGGTAATGGACGAGGTTTCTTTCTGTCATCTTTGAAGCATCCAAGTTTGGTGTAGTTAACAGCACAGCCTGAATTCGATGAACAACAAAAAAAAACAAAACAAAAAAAAGGACAGTGTATGTCTAAATGATAAAGATTATAATATAAACGAGTGGATAAAATATAAAACCAGCGGCAAACACTACATGTATATGGCAACAAATATAATTGCTAAAAAAAAATTCTATTTGTGACCCACGACAAGTAATGCAAAAGGGAAATGTACCCCTTTGAAGATAAATCGTTAAGGTCAACTAGGTTATCCCCGCTGGTGTCGGGCTGAATCCTTCACACTTCATCTCCAAAACGATGCCTTTTTCAAGCATTACAATTTCCGTTATCAACAGTTACACGCGAGTACCTAATTAACTTACCTTTTTCTCTTGGTGGTGGGGGGGTCACTGTAGATGGCACAATGCTTGTGCTGAGAGAAGGGCTTGGCGTTGGCTCTTAAATAAAGTTAAAACAATAAACATCAGTTTTATTTATTTGAACACAAGTTAGGTGGCTTAGCTAGGTCTTCCAGTTGCTAAAACATAACCCTGGAAAAAAAGATCCTTCAATTGGACGGCCATGAACAGGTTAAAGAACTAACTAAAAAACATTGTTTTAAATAAAAAAGGAGCATAATGATCGGTGGAATGGAGTCGAATCACCACACAAACTTTGATTAATGTAAGCGTAAGTCCTGCTAGACAGGAAACCCAGTGTCGTGAGAGGAAACCTTTCCTAATTTATTGACGCGTGTAATATATCTTTGTAGAGGTAAAACGTCCGTTTTCCTTAGCCAATTATAATGCGAAATTGAGAACTCCGACAAAAGATTAAATCTCAGAACGTCATAATTAAGGGAGTGTTTTATTTTCTCAAAGATGTTTGTTGAGTCATTTTAACTTTCCGTCCACTTTGATGACCACGGTTTCCCGCCATGGGCAGATTTTCTTGTTGCAAAAGTTCTTTCACAATTCTGAATTTTGAATTCTTTTATCAAGTTATTACCGGTAGCCTCTTTTTGCCAGCATTGGCTGAGCATTTCATCCTCGTTCGAACTAGTCCAAATAGCATCAGTTCAAAACATATTTCTGAGGTCTGGTAGCGACTGGCACCTTTGTATTAACAACGGAGCTGACTGATGCCCTCTCCAGGGTGTCATCTACGTGTCTGCCGGTTTTCTCATAAGATGTAGCGAAAATCAACCAATGATTTCTAGAAGATTTTTCAGTCATCATAATAATGAGTTCCAGTATTTCACTGTCTTGATTGCTTGCAGAAGAAATGTTTTGGGTTAGAGACAGAGCTGTGACATCCATGAGCTATTACATCGTGGTTGTCGTTTTACAAGCAAATCGCTAGTGGTAAAGTCTCAAGCTCTGCGGGAAAACGGCGGGAAATACCATGTCGTGTTCAGTACGAAGGGTGCAAATGCATATATTGCTGTGAAGCTAGCTTTTTGAATAAGTGAGACACTTCCATTAAGCAGCAGTAACCACTGCTCTTGAGCTGATGCAGAAATAACCAGATGATATTCAGGACTGGAAACCAAGTCAAATTATACCCTAATGAAAATTTGTGACTCTTAATTACTGTACCTACACGTACCTATCTTGGTGCAGTTAGCACTGCACGTGGTTACCACACTGGTCGATGTTGCTGTAAGTGTTTTAGTTTGTGTTATTGTTTGGTTGTGTGTGTTTGTTAAGGTTTGTGTCAGGACTGCCGTACTTGTGGCTGTCATGGTTTCTGTAGTTTTTGCTGTACTTGTTGCCGTCAAAGTAGCGGTACTTGTGTCTATGGCTGTAGAAGTTGTTGTCGCAGTGATAACATTCGTAGCATTGTGCGTCTGTGTCAGTGTGTCTGTAGCTGTTGTAGTTAATGTTTTAGTCAAAGTTTCTGTTGCAAATTTAGTCCCATTAACAGTGTTTGTTTTTGTGGCTGTTGTCAGTAAAGTGCTTGTTGCTATACCTGTACTGGTGGTTGTTAATGTTGTTGTTGATGTCGCTAGTTTTGTACTGGTTACCGTATCCGTATTAGTGGTTGTTAAGGTATGTGTGTTAGTTTTGTTTGCAATGCTTGTCACAACTGCTGTGCTTGTTTCCGTTGTTTTCAAAATAGCTGTACTAGTTAAGGTGTGAGTATTCGTGGTATTCACTACCCCAATACTTGTGGTTGTTAAGGTCGTAGCGGTTGTTACTGGCACGTGCCTTGTCAAGACAGCCGTGCTTGTCTTTGTAGTATGATGTGTGCTTGTAGCAACTTCAGTGTTTGTGGTTGTCAGAGTGGAGGTGCTGGTCATTACATCTGTCTGTGTGCGTGTCTGTGTGGTCAGTGCTGTGTTGGTTTTTGTAGTTGTCTCGGTATTTGTAAGAGTCGCCACTGCTGTACTTGTTTCGGTCTGTGTCTGAGTTAACATCAAAGTTGTTGTGTCCGTTGCTGTCTTGGTCAATGTTGTTAGACACGGACCAGGCGTAGCGCACGTATTGTTAGCAGACGTTGATGACGTAGGTGCAACACAAGTGGCATAAACTTCAGCTTGGATACAAACAGAGGGATAGCTGCATTCAGGAATCGGACATTGAGTAACAGGTGCGGATACCGGTGCGGGAACAGGAGCAGGCTGAGGTGCTGGTTGAGGTACAGGAGCAGGCTGAGGTACTGGCTGAGGTACAGGAGCAGGCTGAGGTGCTGGTTGAGGTACAGGAGCAGGCTGAGGCGCTGGCTGAGGTACAGGAGCAGGCTGAGGTGCTGGTTGAAGAACAGGAACCGGTGTCGGCTGAGGGGTGGACGTTACTGTGACAACGGAGTAGTCATCGTTAGTCTTTTCTTCATATATTAAATACAAAATTCCCCTTATAAACTAGTATCTTAACCCCTTGGGAAAATTATTTTCAATCGTAAATGTAAACATATCTCTGTTATCTTAGTATTATCTTGTTCTTTGGCGCTCCAGCATTGAGGCATACAAGAAGTAATCAATCTTTTACTTCGAATCTCTTTAAATATTAGCTACAAAATGTTATCTAAAAAATAAAGAAGACAGAGAGATGTACGTTACAAGCCAATTCGGAGACATTGTCACCATTAATGCTATATTTTCGGGATAAGGCATTGAATACTTATTGAATTTTACGGAGGCTAATGCTTTGAATATTCGAAGATACCGTAATAGCTTTGTGAGCAAAAGATTCAATCTGTTGATCCGCTTATTTTTTTTTCACTAAGAGGAATAGAGGTGGGGCATATTGCGGGATTTATTATCATGATCAAGCATTATGAACGATTCAACAGGTGATAATATATATTTGATAATTAATTATATAGTAGTCCGACGTTTCACGTAAATAGGAGGTCTAACATAGAAATATCGGAATACCATAATTTTATTGTACTAAATATCGATGAATTATTACAAATGTATGAAACTGTTGTTGTTGTTGTTGTTGTTGTTGTTGTTGTTCGGTGAATAAGCATCGTATTAATCAACTTTTAAAGACCGTTGTGTGACCTTTATATGAAGTCCAACCAAGAACACTTCCCGCTGATCATTCTGATTCAAAATGAATATGTTCAGGAATGAAAAGATGCTTGCCGTCATTTCATTAGGATAATAATTCAATTTGATTGTTCTGTGAAGTAGGTATCTTACCAGAAGTTCCAACCGTTGTTGAAGAAGACGTCACAAGGACTGGAACTGGTGCTGGTTGCATAGCTGGTGGCTCTGTGGAACATAATTTAAAATCCTGCTTTTCGAAATTTGTGATTTGTTGTGGTGTTGCTCAGTTCTATCCTAACGTAATTTACAAACCTGTTGCCCTGTTTCCTTGAATTTCCTCAAGGTCTATAGCTCAACATATTTTCATTCCCCATTTCTAGACAATGGGAAGGAAAAACTGGCGACTATTTTTGGCAAATAAAGTGCAAAACGTTGGTATAACACTGCTCCGGATTGGTTCAAGTAAGTTATCATTAGTGACAGATCCACGGGGTCATCGGTGCATAGGATCGAAACAATCTTTCCAAACTACTTTTTAAATCGTGTAAGGCAATTTTTAAAACCGCCAGAATATTAAAATAATAAACCAAATGCATGGATTTCAGTGAAAGACGATGCAAATCTATTTTGCTTATTTTAAGGGTAACCTGGTTCAACAAGCGGAGGTGGGAGAGGTTGTGTTTCATTTCCTGTAGGCCTGCTGCCCACCGGCTGAACTGGAGGGAGTTGATGAGATACTGGTGTAGGTGCAATACTCTGCGATGGATCTATTTTTGTTACTTGCTCTGGCGTGACAACTTGAGGGTGTTGTGGCTCCGACGGGAGAGGCTGTGAGGATACCTCCAACACTGACGAAGCATTTGATTCATTCGGTTTGACTTCTCCGATTGGTTGGTATTCTATTTCCGTTTGGGGCTCTGTGACGAGAGATAATTGTGTTCGTTATGGCAACATTAAGATCGAGGCACAAACTAGTCGAGAAAAAGAGGATAAAGTATCCATCCCAGATAACATAACGAAATGAATAAACGGAAAGAAGGCGAAGATTCATTGTAATCTTTGAATATCGACCAATTGCCGCTGATCAATATAGTATAAATGGACTCGACACAATACCAAGGCTGTTTACAATTATATATTGTTCACTACAGGGTTGGAAAAGAATTCTGTTTATGAAAACCGCTTACTAAGGTTATCAGCAAAAGTTTAAGGAGAGAAACCAGGTGTTCGAGTTTGTTTTAATTTACTTTCTTTATAAAGTGACTTCAAATTGGCTTTGTTGTATTAAACAAACTTAACAAACGCAAACAGTTGCAAAAATAGACTTGCAATTACAGGAACCAGTTGTACAATGGATGACAAACACTCTACACCGGATAAATTACTAACCAAAGAATAGCGCACATTACTTCATCATATTCCTAAATAAAAAAATTACCTATCCTACTGAGGTTTTAGTTCCATCAGTTAAAGAAACTATACGTTTTAAAAAAACTAAGTCCCACCGGGTTCTTTGTTTTGTAACAGAGCACATTTGAATTTCCAAGCTTTTATGTTTTGTGAAGTTAAAATCGCAGCCCGAGAAGGCGGTCGGGTACGTCAAAAGATGACTATATTTTTGTTAATTGAACAGTTCTTGCATTAGAAAAAGTGATAATTTCAATCTGTGGAAGCTATAGATATCAACGATTCATTTTTATAGCGAAACTTATGGCAATTGCTTCTGTTACTTTACGACTGCCATGTTGGTGCCCCTCCGAGTGGCACCAACATGGCGTCTCTATACAAAACTCTAAATTGGGCTGAAACACTTCTCCGTATAACAGGCCTAAATCTTGGCGAGGTCAACTATCATATCCTAAATTCTTTTTCGTGTGCATTAACAGTGTTAATAAATCCGTTTTCATTAATTCCTAACAGTGCAATTTGAACACATTTTGATAAAGTTTACTGATCAAATTTAAGGGACGTAGCTATGTTAGTACGGCTACACTTGTCTTGTACAACTATCTGTAAATCTGTCCTGGAGGTTGACAACTGAAAAACTGAAAAAGCGACAGCACGCTTCGTAGAACAGCAATAATAATATTGATAAAAATAATTTAACCACCAACTGATATATTGTTTGTGTGCTCTGAAGGCACCATGTAAAACCTAATTTTGAGGCAGGAAGACGATTGTTTTGATCTACGTTTCAGCAGGTGTATGGATATGGATTCATGCATGTGACCACAATAAAACAATTCAGTGAAAGGTTACGGAAAAAAACACAAACTGTCTATGGAAAAGAAAGCATAGTTTCTTCGAAGAAAACAGATCGATATTAGTTTGCATCATTTTTTTGCCTTTTCTTTCTAAATCATATCCACGGGTAAATAAATATCCATAAGCAAAGCGAGAAAATTGTCCCTAATAAGTATGTATTACCCACTTATATGTCACGAACCATGAAGCTTGACAAATTATATTTAAAAAGTTCCCCCTCGAGCATTCAATTCAACTACTCCACTCGTGATGCCGATTCCATCAATTTCTTGCGACACTGGTTAATAGTTAACGTTTCCTTTTCGATTACTTTGATTTCCAGGAAATGATACGATACTGTTGGATATTTTGTCTTACAACATCGCAACATTGTTACACGCAAACCTCTCGAATTCTGCATTTCCAACTGGTAAATCAGTAACAGTTTCCTTTCCTTAGTTAACACCTAGTGAAAGTTACTTCGATTTCAAGGTTACTGGCAAATTCCCCATCGTACACTAGGTTATGATCGGTTATCATATCGAACTAACTTAAACAGGTTAAAGGCTTCTCTACAAGTTCCTGGCACAGAGACGCCTACTTCAAACTCCTTAAACTTACCGTCGGAGAATACTTCTTCACTCTTTCCTGTTTTTGAAGAAAATATAGCTATCGATATCAAATAATAGAAAATATGCATATCCGCGAAGCGCTAGTTTAGTCTAGTGAAACGTAAATATGTACAAAAAGGTGGAAATTGGCAACTATTTAATCATATAAAAGACTTAGACACATAACTGTTATATGACGTAAACATTCCTTGTTCGCGGGAGGCAATCAAAGACAGCCTTTACTTCGCACATAAACGCTTCGTGAAAATTGTGAAAAGTAGGACACGAATTTCATTAGAATATAATGAAAAACAAGCTTACTACTTAAACGCCTCATGAAAACGTTTGCCTCAGAGTTTTAAATACCAAAGAAAACTGAACCTTTTTTCATAAGAGAGGTTAACATACAGTAAATATGTAGATTATTTTACTTTTTTCCTTTAGAGGTTATTGTGAATAAAGCGGTTCTGTCGATGTCTGTGTTCAATGACCCAAGATAATAAATTACCAGAAAACAGGTGGTGTTCACGGGTCCCTTAATTCATCGCTTTGCTGAATTTAATAACAAGATAAAAGTGAAAAGTTATCATATGAGAAAACGTAAACCAAATTTCGCTTTGAGAGAGGTTTTCACTTGAATGAAGAAATGTAAATTGTAATTGGTTTGGCATAACTACGTTACGCGATTGGCTCAAACACTCGCGCCTCTTTTTCATCCGATCAGAAGTAACACCAAAATGAAAAATCGATTGCACACGTTTTCCCGCGCTTCGCGTCAGTTACACGTATCTTCTGTAAGCTTTGATTGGTTTATTGGAAGGTTTGTGTCTTTATGATTGGCTAGTGTAGGAACAGGGAGTTTCCGATATTAATGGCTTGTTGGTGTGAGAGCCAGAAGACATCCTATATCATAATTACAGTGCGTCCCTGTTCAAATGATCGCCATTTCGGCAGGCTACACTGTAAATGAATACTCCACTTTAATCGCCGCTTTGAACACTTCAGTTATAACGCCCACTAAAGCAGGATTCATATTCGCAGAGCTAGAGATGTTCAAATGAGACTAGCAAGAGAGCCTATTGAGTGGAACGCTTTTGTCGTTCATTTTTCCCTAGTGACAAATTGGAATGTTGCGAGCACACAAACATCTTAACCTTATTTTAACCCGGGAGGAGGGGAACAAAGCGCCTGCGGATGAATACTACCACTGTCTAACAAGTGATGCTACAATAAAGTAATCATACAAACGCCCAATCATTGGTTAACAAGTTGCGGTCATCTTTTTTATATAACATGTTACCATAGCAACAATATAACCTGTTTAAAACTCCCTTAATTTTAGCTTTAAGCTCTTGTAACTCAAAAACGAGCTGGGTGACCCCCAATTTTTATTATCGAATTGTGATAAGCATGATAGGATGCAATGTTCTGCAAAGTTTAAAAAA